GCACCTTGTTGTCTCGGATTCTCCAGCATCTGCAGTTCCTACTATCTCTAGGAATCCATCCACTCCAGTTCAGCTTTGTAAGTCAATGCATGTCCCCTTTTTATGGCAAAAGCTGCCATATTTCCAGCAACTAAAATCGTTATAGTTCCCAAAGCCATTTTGCCAGCTACTGACAGAGGTAAGTGGGTAAGATAAGGTGAGGGAATTGGAATGCAGGTGGGTGGATAGGTAAAAGGTAGGGTGCTAGGTGGGTGAGGGGTTACACTGGGTCACTGTCTTCTGAGGGCCAAGGACTTTGCAGTGAGTTGGGGGGAGGTGGCGGTGGCGTTGGTAGTAGTAGTAGTAGTAGTAGTAGTAGTAGTAGTAGGGGTAGTGTCAGTAAGTGTTCTGGCTGGCTGGGAGTTGGAGCAGGTTTTAATCTACTTACTTTTTTTGGCTAACTATTAAGATAAGCAAGTTGGTATTCTCAAGTCTTCAATTTTAACTCCTCCCTCGGAACAGAATATCTGAGCCATTGGATCTTTAAATAATAGCCATTCCTTGTCTGCCATCATATTTTTTAATGGAATTTCCAAATGTAACTTAGCCAACTTGCTCCTCAGTCTTGTAGAGTTTGCTTTCTTTCAGTTTAAGACACTTGTTTTACAATTCTCCAACTCCTTTTCTCTCTCAACCTAAAATTCTCTTTGTATTATAGTCACTATTCCTAGTGGTTCCCTTACCACAAGATAGATAATTAAAGGTAGAGCGAAAGCTTGTTACTTACTCTCTACAGATGCTGCCAGACTTCCTGTGTTTCTCCAGCACACATTCTTTTTGTTTATTATTAATCAACCATTTCTCATTGCACAATATTGCATCCAGATTAGCCTGTTTCCGAGTTAGTCGAGACTAACTATCTTCTACAAAACTCATGAACTCCTCCTTCACATTTGAATTACAAATTTGGTTTGTTTATCCTTGTGAATCTCCTTCAAATCATTGCATCACTCCATCGGTGGGTATGCAGTTCAAATACTACAACTGACTGTAAGGGAGGGTCAGCATTTCTAGAAATCCATAAGGCACAGGAGCAGATTAGACCTTTCAGCTCATCAAGTCTGCTTTGCCAATTGATCATGGCTGGTAGGTTTCTTAATCCCATTCCCCTGCCTTCTCCCTATAACCCTTGATCCCCTTATCAATCAAGTATCTATGTATCTCAGTCCTAATGCACTCAGTGACTTGGTCTCCACAGCCCTCTGCAACAGTGAGTTCCACAGATTAACTACCCTCTGGCTGAAGAAATTCCTCCTCATCTCAGTTCTAAAGGGTTGTCCCTTGACTCTGGGGCTGTGCCCTCAGGTCCTAGTCTCTGTTACTAGTAGAAACATTATCTCCACATGCACTCTATCCAGGCCTCTCCGTATTCTGTAAGTTGCAATCAGATCTCCCCTCATCCTTCTAAACTCTATCGAGTACAGAGCCAGAGTTCTCAACTACGCTTCATATGCCAAGCCCTTCATCCTTAGAATTAATCTCTTAAACATCCTCTGGACACTCTCCAATGCAATATATCCTTCTTAGATACAGGCCCCAAAACTGCTCTTAATGTTCCAAATGCAGTCTGATCAGAGCCTTATACAGCCTCAGCAGTAACTTTCTGCTCTTGTATTCTAGCCCGCTTGAAATGAATGGTAACATTTTGTTTGCCTTCTTAACTGCTAATGGAATCTATATGATAATCTTAAGAGAAACCTGTACTGAACTCCAAAGTCCCTTTGTGCTTCAGATTTCCAAAGCCTTTCCCATTTACAAAATGGTCTACTCGTCTGTTCTTCCTACCAAAATGCATAACCTCACAATTTCCCACATTATATTCTATCTGCCACCTCTTTGTCTACTCACCCAGTCTGTCCAAGTCCTCCTCAGCCTCCCTGTTTCCTATTACTACTTGTCCCTCCACCTGTTTTTGTGTCATCTGCAAAATTAGCAGCAATGCCCTCAATTCCTTCAACCAGGTTGTGGATTTATAATGTGAATATTTGTGGACGCAACACGGACCACTGCAGAACTCCACTAGTCACCGGCTGCTGAAAAAAACCTCTTTATTCCTATTCTCTACCTTCTGGCAGTCAGCCAATCCTCCAGCCATGCCAAAGTCTTGCCCTTAATACCATGTCAATACCCTTAATACCTTATTTAGCAGCTTCCTGTGCGGTACCTTGAGTCATAGTGCTAGAAAAGGCCCTTTGGCCCATCAAGTCTGCACCTTGTCAAAGACTACCTGGAAATTCAAATAGGTCACATCCACTGACTCTCCTTTGTCTAACTTGGTTATTACATCCTCAAAGAATTCTAACAGATTCATCAGGCATGACCTTCCCTTGATGAAACCATGCCTACTCAGCCCTGTTTTAGAAGCCTACCCACTATTCTTTTGTTCCTGAAATTGTCTTGGTCTGAAAACAATATGTGGAGCCTGCTTTTAAATGAAGTTTTAATACAGATCTGTAAACTCCTCATACTTTCCGCACTCCCAAACCCCAAAATCTTTGATTATGTGGAGCATTTATGCCAGTGTGATTTAATATTCAGTCATAACGGATATTGACATCTCTGTGAAGTCAGTTAAGGTTCACCTACAGGAAGTGTAGGCTGTAGCACCTCCTTCTCCCTGAAGATTTCACCATTGTGCAATGTTTTAGCTGATGATAGCAAGGAATGAACTGCTGAAACCCCATGAGAAGTATAGGACATCTGGCTCAGAGTTTCGTCCTGTTCTCCTGTCCTCAAGACAAAGTTTTCAAAGGGAAAGAAAAATCCACGTTTCCTAAGAAAGTTATCGAAAATAATCTGGCTGCTTTCACTTAGTCTGGTAAAGATTTCAGCAAATCCAGTTCTTTCTGGTTTTGGCAAAGTGTAAAGCCATCTTTGTGTCTGACAGTTTTGAGACCTAGATAAAAGGAATGTTTCCTTAGGTAGCTGTAGTAATGTAGAAGTTGTCCTCAGTTTTTTTTCTGATTCTTGTGAAAACAGCACACTCTTATTTCTTTGTTTTATAGAAGCTGCCTGTAACACTAATTTATTCTTTAGTGCGAATGTGCTACATAATACCGTCCTCAGAAATCTTAGGACACTAGTGACTTTCTTGTGTTTATTACTTTAAGTTGGAAAATAAAGTTAATGATCTAGTGTGGTTCATTTTATCAGGGCATACGAATGCCATCAATCTGGCTCTGGCCAATAGTGTTTGTCCGCACTGCTGATAAGATACATGACTATTGGGAGACTGGGTTCCCATCTGAAATAACATCAAGCCGTTACGTGGATGCATCTGAGGTCAAGCTTACTTGACACACATTCCACCAACTCTGCTGGTGGACAGCTTGTAATGTGGCCCAGAGTAAGTAAGATGCTGACTTTGCTTACTTAACCTTTCCAGCCCAAAGTGCAAAAAGCTATAGAACTGTGGAAACTGGAAATCAGAACTTGCTGGAAAAACTCAGAACGTCAGGCAACATCTGCGGAGAGAAAGCAGAGTTAATGTTTTGAGTCCACTGATCCTTCTCAGCTCAAATTGCAGTTATCATTATACCCAATCTGTGATGCTTACATCCTGTTGAAGGACATATGTTTGAGCTAATCAGTGTTACATCTAGGCATTAGGAGGTGTGCTGTGGTTACAGAGCAGGATGGCCAAGCCCCAGGAGTGCAGGAGACAGCTTTGCCTGTTCCCAGTCTTTTAAGATGCTTCATTAGACCTGTGCTTTCAGTTGGAATCACTCCCAGCCTTGTGACTTTGGTTCCCCACCTCATGAATACTCTAGAAATGTAAATCTCCAGCATTATATTTAGGAAGTTATAAGGAATGTGTGTTTTTGCATATTCCAAGGGAGAGGGTTCAGGGCCCTATATTCTTTGCTTCCCACCAAAGGAAGTACCACTGAGTTTTTTCTTAGAAAGAATGTCTGTCTCAATGATTACTTCCAAGTGCTCTATATTTCGACGTCCTTTCAATACAAACATTAGATTGTCTGTGTAGGATTGGTTTTCTCCTTATCCAGCGTCGGGTCGTGTAGTAGATTATCTGTATATTGCTGTGTTATTTTGTGTTTTGGTTGCATGTTAAGAATGGACATGTTGCAGACTATCATCCTGTCCTGTTATTGGGGTATCAGCACAAAGGCATCACCTCCATAATTTGAACAAGACTCAGATGTGAAGTGACCCACTGGATGCTACGTTTAGGCCAAAGTGGAACAGTTAATTTAACTGTCTAGCACAACATTCATTTAGACAAAAAAGCGGTAAAGGGATCATACATTTTTTTCCTCCTTAAAAGCTGCATTTTCCCCATGAATTTGTTTTTATGTTGACTTTATTTAATGAGAAATTGAGGAGGAAGGTGATGTAAATTCTGCTTCCAGTCCACTTGTTTGAGAATGTGAGAATGGCTTTATGTTACCTTGTATTTACTCGGCCTGCTATGTAAAAACGGTAACCTTATGTAATCTATTAGACTAGTTCAAAATTGAACAAAATGCCTAAAATCAATATTTCAAAAATCCTTCCTTCTCTTTTCCTCCCTCTCACCATCAAAAAATGACTGCTTGGTAGAGTGTGGGAATGCAGACTTGATATCTTGCTTTTATGGCTGGTTGTATCCGAGTTGTAAGGTGTGGGCTATGTACTATGAGCTTTCTACTGTGTTAGTGGTGTCTTTCTGTGAAACTTTTTTTCTTCCTTTTACTCCTGTGTGGATTTTCCCCCTGTAGGAAAGTGCTGCCTTGGCAGATAGATTGATCCAGGTATGCCTTCCACTTTCTTTCATGGCCATTAAACTTGCTAACTTCTCCAAAGCAGTGCCATTTAACTTGTCTCATCTGGTGAGGTAACCTGCTGTGACGCTCACCCGCATGCTGCATGTGATCCTTGTGGAAGCACTCACTGTAATCCAGACCACACCCACACCCACACCTCGCCACCTGTGCTAAGTAAATGCGAAGATTAGTGATGCACAGGAACAGCTGCCCGGACTCTAGGTTTGGGCAGGTCATATGTCAACTGGAGTGTTGGAGAAGGGGTAGGTGGCATATCTTCCATAGGATCATCATAGTCAGGATTTGCAGTGCAGGACAGCCCAAAATGGGTAAAGGAAGAGTGTGCATGTACACATACCTGTGACTGGCATATTTGGTACTTTGTGCTCGAAAGCTGTGTGCTCACTACAGAAGAGGAACTGATATTTAACATGAAGAATCTGCGCATCTGAGTACGACAGCCTTCAGAGTGCTATGTGTCTGTGTATATGTACATGTACCTTTACTCTGTATACAGTAAAGTGGGACACTCTTGTGTATCACAACTCTGAGCATTTATTGAGCCCCTTTGGAGGGATAAGATTTCATGTGATATTGGTGGATTGAACCCGTATACTCCCTGAGTGCATGCTGCAGGCTCCCGTAAACCTCTTTAACCAACAGCTCTATACTAATGCTATTCTTCACTTGAGCATGCAACGCACTTAAAGGAGTATTCCTTGTCACACTGTGAAATCTCTTGGAACAATGCATATCTGACCTGACCTGACATGTGCAATGCAATCTAGCAATGCCTGGTAAACCTTTCCAATCACAGCATTGTTCTGATGCTTATTTTAAACAATGGTTATTAATGTGTTCCTGGAGTGCAATAAGCTCTTTGCTTAAACCAGTATTCATGGTGTTTCACATTTTTCAATTGCAAAGCACTGCATACAGTTAATGTAGTTATGTTTCTTATCATTAATGCAAAAATCCATTGTGCTGCAGCATACTTGTTACATTTTGGGGAAAAAAAACTTGTAGTAACACCTTGAAAGTTGTGAAATAAAGTGTATATTTCTCAGCATACCTTATTTAAACTAACTGTTTGGAAAGAAAACTTAATTGTGTTTCTCACAGTTCTGGGTGAACAGGGTGCCTTACACACATTAATCAGAGACACAGTGCTGGAATGGCTGAAGATGAACAGGTTCTGTTCAATTCACGGCCTCCGATGAGTGCCTTAGTTTGCACAGTAAGGATAATGCAAGAGATTGAGATTGTCCTACTAACTCCTATTTTAGAAGTGTTGTTTCTGGCAGCCAGTTTGTAAAGAAATACAATACTCTTTAATCTTTCATACAGATTAGTTTTTTAAAATTTATTGTTGCTTATTTTCTCATCCTTCCAGCTCCCCTACTCACTATCCACTCCCACCTTGGTGACTATGTGCTCAGCCCTTCCCCGCCCCGTTACCTGCTATTCCCATCCTCTCCCTTTATCCATTTTCTGCCACTTCTCCAATATTACTCACTCTCTACGCCCCACTCTTGTTACCCTTGATTTATGCTCCCCCTTTTTATCTGCTATCACTGTCCCTCCCCATTACCCACTGCGTCTGCCCTCTCACTCTGCTCACTGTAGTCTTAATTCTTTCTATTCTCTGGTGGTCTGTCTCTCCCTCCAGGATCTCCACGGGATTTCTTGATTGCAGTTTGATCTGATAGCAAATTTGACAAGTGATAGTGGTGGGCATTTGAATTGTGTGGAGATACAATTTCAGATGTTTGGCTTTTTTCATTCCCTTGTGTAAGTGCTGATGGTTGTTGTCTGTTGAAGATTTAGGCCTGAGCATATTTCTGTCCCTTCCTTTCTTACCCTCCCTGCATCATGTAAAACCAACATGTTTAAATGTTTTTGGATATTCTTATGGTGCCCAATTAAGATAAAGCTGGTTCTAGTAAGTCCTTGGATTCATGACAGTTCTCATCTGGCTTTTCATGGAACGGACTCTCTACAGTGTGGGAAACAGGCCATTGGGTCCACACCGACCCTCCGAAGAGCATCCCACCCAGACCTATCCCCCACTCTGTCCCTGTAACCCTGCATTTCCTATAGCGAACATAGAGTAGTACAGCACAGTACGGGCCCTTTGGCCGACAATGTTGTGCCAACCTATTATCCTACTAAGATCAAACTACCCTGCATACCCTACATTGTACTATCCTCCATGTGCCTATCCAAGAGTCGCTTAAAAGTCTCTAAAGTATCTCACTCGACTACCACTGCCGGCAGCGCATTCCACATGGCCACCTCTGTCTGTGTAAAGAACCTAGCTCTGACATCTCCCCTATACCTTCCTCCAATCACCTTAAAATTATGCCCCCTCGTAATAATCTACCTTGCCTGAACAACCCTGGACATCATGGGGCAATTTAGCATGTCCGATCCACCTAATCTGCACAATTGGACCATAGGAGGAAACCAGAGCACCCAGAGAAAACCCATGTAGACACAAGAGAATATGCAAACCGCGTACAGTCGCCCAAGGGTGGAATTGAACTCATGTTCCTGGTGCTGTAAGGCAGCAATAATAACCACTGACTCACCGTGGCGCCCACCAGTTTAGGACTTAGCTTTCTTCTGTCCTGTGCAATGTATGGTGATGGCTGCTGGTAGGGTTTGTGTAAAAGATTTGTGGCGGATTACATCCATTGGTTTTGAAGTAGACATGTGTTTGGGCCTCAGAACTGTACATTCTTTGCAGGGAGAAGGGCCCAGACCCTTCCAGAATGTATCCTCCTTCATTTTGGAGGATGTTGTTACCATCTTGCCAGGCATGGCTGAGAAGGTTCTCCTTGAGCAGAGGATTATTGAATAGAAGGATGAGTAAGCAATTCTGCCCTTTGATCCCGCTATGCTATTATAGATCAAGCTGATCACCTACTTCAACATCATTTTCCTGCATTTTGTCCATATCACTTGAAGTCATTTATTAACTCAAAATCCATACATCTGTATTAAACTCATCAATGACTGAGCTTCCACAACCTGCTGAGGAAGAGCATTCCAAAGATTTAACCACCCGAGGGCCTTTTGATGAAGGGAATTCCAAAGATACTCAATTCGGAACAAGTTTTGTCGTCTCTGTCATGAATGGATAACCCCTTATTATTAAATGATGTCCCTGAGTTCTATATTCTTCATCAAGAGGAAACATGCTTTCAGCACCCACCTGATCAAGCCCCCTCAGAATCTTGTATGTTTCAATCAAGTCACCTCGGACTCTTCTAAACTCCAAAGGTTACGGGTTTAACCCGTCTAACGTTTCCTCCAAAGGCCATACGCTCATTCCAGGTATTTGTCTAGTGAACCTTCTCTGAACTGCTCTGTATCACAAATATATCCTTCCTTAGAATAATGGACCAGAACTGCGCACAGTATTGCAGATGTGGTCTCACTGGTGCTTTATTTATTGCCGTCTCCACCAGTCCTGCCACCTTCAATGTTCTGTGCAGATATTCGCCCAGAACACACTGCACCTGCTCTCCTTATTTCATATTGTCTTTCAGAGTTCTTCCATATAATCAGGAAGACTAATGGAAAGCTATCCTTTATTGTGAGAAGAATTGAACATGAAAAGTAAGGACACCAGGGTATTGATGGGACCACAAATCAAATAGTGTGCAGTTTTGATCTTATTTAAGGAAGGATTTAAATGCATCGGAGACAGTTCAGAGAAGGTTTACTAGATTGGTATTTGGAATGAGTAGGTTGTCTAAGGATAGGTTAGACAGACTGGGCTTGTTTCCACTGGTGTTGAGAAGAGTGAAGGGTGACGATTGAAGTGTATGAGATCCTGAATGATCTTGATAAAGTGGACATGTAAAGGAAGTTTCCTGTTGTAAGTGAGCCCAGAATTAAGGGGCACGATTTGAAAATTAAGGGCCATCTCTTACCACAGAGGTAAGGAGATTATTTGTTCGTTTATTTGTTTTTCTTTTTCCCCCCCGAGAGTTGTGAATCTTTGGAACCTGTGGGATCAAGGAATATTTTAAGACCGAGATGGATACCTACATTCTGGCTGTGTAAAAAAAACCCTGAGCTTCCTGTTGCCAGCCACCTAACACACCAGCTTGTTCCATGGCCAGCATCTCTGGCTTGCTGCAGTGCTCCAGCGAAGTTTGGTGCATTCTGGAAGAACAGCATCTTATTTTCCACTTGGGAACTCTGAAGCCTTCTGACCTCAATATCGAGTTCAACAATTTAAGGCCTTGAGGCACATTCTCCCATGTCTTTACCCACTTCCCACACACCAGGCCTTGTTATCACATGGCCTGCTATTGCACACAACTGAATGTTAGTCCCTATTGGCAGCTGTTCGTTCTCCTAAACTAATCAATATCCACTCCTTTGTCTGTCCAACTGGTTTTCTCTCTTTGGGCTCTTTCTCCACCTATCATTTACTCCATATTCCCTTCCCCCACCCTATCTTCTGCATAAAAACCAACTTTTTCCTCGCTAACATGACTTCTGAAGAAGGACCTGAAACATTAACTCTGATTTCTCTCCACTGGTGCTGCCAGACCTGCTGAATTTATCCAGCAACTTCTGTTTTTATTGCTGATTTCCAGCACCCGCAGTTCTTTCAGTTTTTTTTAATAGATTTTTGTTAAGGAGGGGAATCGAAGGTCATCAGATGGAAATGTGAAGTTCAAAAGACAAACCAATCAACTAGCCAATCTTATTAAATGGAGGAGCAGACTGTAGTCTACTTTGTACCCATTCTGATTTCTATGGATCTATCTTCGGTTCATTTGACATCAAGACCAGGATTCTCACTGCAAACAATTCCCTGGAATTCCCCTTTCATGTGCTCAGCTGACTTGAGCCCATCTTGTGAATCCCTTCTTTGCTGTGTCATTCTGTTCAGTACTGTAGTTTTAATTATTTATGATCACCTGCAGTATTATTGTCATTGTCTACTGCTTTCCCTATCTGCTTTCTTCCCTTTTGACCCAGGTTTGGAGGTTGAGTCACCCAAACTTCAAGTGAATTTGTTGACTCTCTTCCTCCCCTCTCTTCTGTGCTGCCACTTCCCCTCCACTCTTCCCATGGGTTCTGCCCTGTTTGTTTGTTTTTATCAGATGTTTATCTTTGCCTGACTTTGATTTCTTTTCATATGATCTATCCGAACAGTGAGTACCTTTTTCATGCCTCCAAAACATTTTCAGTCCCGTGATTAGATCTGTCTTTCTCCCTCTGTGATCCATTTGTGTCTCGGTTTGCACTCTTGGTGATACTGTAATAAATTCTTAAAATTGTTTCCATGCATATCACTGTTAACAGAGCTGACTTCCTGAGTTAACAGTGTGGAGCTGGACCCGAAATGTCATCTTTCCTGCTCCTCTGATGCTGTCTGGCCTTCCTCTGGTGCTGTCTGGCCTTCCTCTGATGCTGTCTGGCCTTCCTGCTCTCTGGCCTTCCTCTGATGCTGTCTGGCCTTCCTGCTCCTCTGATGCTGTCTGGCCTTCCTCTGATGCTGTCTGGTGCTGTCTGGCCTTCCTCTGATGCTGTCTGGCCTTCCTGCTCCTCTGATGCTGTCTGGCCTTCCTCTGATGCTGTCTGGGCCTTCCTGCTCTCTGGCCTTCCTCTGATGCTGTCTGGCCTTCCTGCTCCTCTGATGCTGTCTGGCCTACTGTGTTCCTCCAGCTCCACACTTTGTAGTCTCTGGCTCCAGCATCTGCACTTCTTGTTATCTCTGACTTCCCTAGTTATTCTTGTGTCACAGGCCTGTCACTAAGGTGTCAGGTTCTTTTTGTACTATGTATTATCATTAGTCGTTCCTTTGAACCCCTTTCTTTTCCTATCCCTGAAAGCACTGATTCTAGCTTGGGAATAATCTTGAGTGTTGGTTGTCCTCTGCCCTTTCCTCAAAAAGTAGAAGTTGGCTGTTGGAGCTTATGTTGATTATAACCTAGCCCTTCTGTTCATGCCACTATTTCCATGCAAAATGTTAATGCTGTCAGGTTGGTATCTTGGCTGAGATCAACTGATTTAGCTTGGGCTAGAGGCCTTCCCTGCACAGTTCTGCCTATTGGTAGCTTGTTTTCTTTATAGCATGTGTGTGTCACTAGTGAGGCCAGCATTTGTTGCCTATCACCGGATCCCCAGTCCATTTCAGGGGGCATTTAAAAGTCAACCATGATGTTGTGGGTTTCAAGTCATACGCAGACCAAGCCAAGTAAGTATGGCAGATGTTCGTCCTTAAAGGGTATCAATGAGGCCAGATGAGTTTTTATGGTAATAGATAGTGGTTACATGGTTGGCATTAGACTAGCTTTTAATTCCATGTGTAATTGAATTCAGTTCACCACTTGCTTTGGTAAGATTCTAACCCCTACTCCTGTACCATGAGCCTGGGATTCTGAATTATTAGTCCATGGCATTATTTCTGCATCACTGCCTTCCCACCACCCCCCTTACCAATAAGTTTACTGATCCATTTGGCAATTTTGCATTTGTACAATCTCATTATGAACTGGAAGAACCCTCAAAAGCAACTAAGCCTATTTCTTTTTCTGGCCATCAAAGGTAAATTAAGAATGGAATTAGGCCTTTAGAGAGTCAGTAGCCCATCTGTGTCGCTAACCTTTCTCTCCCTCGTGGGTTTGTCTTCAGGGGCAAGTAACCAGGGCGCAGGAAGCTGAGGAGAACTACGTCATCAAGCGAGAGCTGGCTGTAGCAAAGCAGCAGTTCAACACAACCAGTGAGAAACTAGAACAAGCACAGAGCACCATTCAGGAACTGCAGGAGCTCAGGGTAAGGAAAGGCAGGTGTGGGATTTCTCACTCATGTTCAGTAAAGATTTAGTGCTAAGTGCACTACAAGCAATAAGCATCTGGTGTATTCTGGCTGCTTTACAGTAATCTCCCACTTGGCTAGTTGTCAGTGACATTTGAGGTGTTGCTATTATACTTGACCTCAAACTCAAAATCTACTAATTGGTGATTTGTCCAGGCAACACTCCATGGTTAGCTGGATTATAATCAAGAAGGTATGATCTTTCTCATAAGGAAAGGAAGAAACTTAATAGCTGATCATTTTAACCTGCCCTTGTGCATTTTATAGAAGGCACCTCGAGCAATAATGAAAGAGATCTGAGAATGGGTCACCTTCATGCAGGGGCTAAGGCACAGTGATATGGTTTTGCAACAGCCTGCTTAATTATTTCTGAAGAAGAGAGTCCTGAGTTCTGCTATATAGTCGAATTATCCCTTATGCCTTGATATTCCAATCCTGTGAAACTAATGTGCGTATGCCTATTTCTTCCTAATCAACCTGTTCAGATGTTCTGTGACAGATCTCTGGAGCAGGTGGGACTTGAAACAAAGCTTCTTGGCGCAGACGTAGGGATACTACCACAAGAGCCTCAAAGTGTGTGCCAACTGGTTACTGGCCTAGTATAAACACCTGTACACTACTTTTATGACATTCAGATTAAATAAATGTGGGATTGCTGGTTTCTGGTGATAGCAATTGCTTGAATTCAGTAAAAACACCCCAGTGGATCTCGATTGCTTTAATTTCTTGCACTGACAGCATTGTTTAGATAACCGCATTCTAAGTGTAGTGTTTAGGATACTTCCACATTTCCTGCTGATGGTGTATTGTCTTGCAGGTATTTTTTTTGTTTTAAACAAACATACAGTTGAACCTAAGTGAACATTTCAGAGAAAAATAAATGTGCAGATACCTTGCAACTTGATGTCATGCAAGCACCTGAGCTGTGTTGCAACTTGCTACTCTACGTAGTTTGATCTATTAAATGTAAACAGTGACAGAGTTGGTGTGCAATGCATTCCAATTTTGCTCCTCACAGTGAGAGAGCAAATGGGACAATGAAGTAAGTGACAGCCATGTGCTAACGGTATTCACCAGGGTCTGATGCACAGATGGTCCTTGTCTGACGGTTTAACTGTGCGCCCTCATGATGAGAGGAAAACAAGCTCCATTTCATGAAGCAGGTGCTGGGTTCCTTCCAACTGTTTGGCAGCATCTGTGCTGAGATATTTGTCAGTTCTGATGCAGAGAGGGGTTAAATGTACCAACAACAACCTGCTGTTGTGGTCAACGAGTGCTCGCTTCTGTGGGTCTTTGAGCATAGAGCAATGTGTAATGACGGCAGATTTCCAAATTCTTCCTCATTGCATCAGTTATCTTCCTGTTCACAAGGTTTTTAGTCAGAGGTATTAAGGTAAAGATGCACTTCATTTCTCTGAATAATCTAATGTTCATCCCTGACTCTGTTTTGTGCATCCATGCTACTGTAATAAGCTGGCAGAGTTTATCCTCCTTGTACACGTCTATTAACTGTCACATAAACTAAACCAATCACCACTGACTCATTGAATATTTAAAATAAGTATTAGGAGGCAAAGTAAGAGATTTCTTTCCTGCTCTTGCTGCTTCTCTTACTCGTCTCTCCCTCACAGCAATGAATAATCCGACCAATTGATGTGGAGTCCAAGTTGAGGTTGCAAACCTCATCCTGTACCAGCCTGTCAAATTGCGTTCTGTGATGTCTCTATTGATGCTGTATGGTAGAATACAATGGAGAATAAGCATCTATTTTTGCTTCTCTTCCTTTCCCTTTGTTCCTTTTGTTACAAGAGGAAGTTTATGGTGGAAGAAAAATATAAATTATTGCTGGGGCACGGTGGATGTCTAGCAATGATTTATAGGCTGTGGTTTCGTCATTCACTCATTCCACAAATGAGATTGTTTTAAGCCAGAATTTGTTTATCCAAACCTCTTAGATTATCATAAAGCTATTATGGGGAAGAGAGTGTGTTAATTAATAAGTATATACTGACTATGAGCATTTTTTTTTTCCCCAGAGAGTGTAGTTTGACCTTGATTTCAGTGGCAACCCAAGTCATTTGTGAAACCTTGTACCTTGGATTCAATTGGCCCAAAGCCACAGTTCCAGATTTCAGCTTTAACACACAGATGATAGATCAGTGAAATGTCATGCTAGGCATTAGACAGTTGATGTAAATGAGTATTTGACACGTCCATGTAATCTGAGTTTCAAACTTTTATCAAAGTTATGATTTTTATTTAAAATTTATCCCCCCTACCCTTGATTTGTATAATGCTGCAAATGGGCTGGTGTTTTTAGAAACAAAATATAAATTCAAACAACTAGATTGAGTTAATTGTAGTGGGGCACATCAGGGAGCTGTAGCTCAGTGTTACATTGCAAATATTTTAGTGATGCTGCACCATGCTTTGTTAGCGATGAATGAAATCTTTAACCTCAAGCAAGAAATCTCTCCAACTGGACCTTGAGATCATTGGAGAACTTACTATGTTCACTTTACTTAACTTTGAGCCAAGATCTCTTTCTTTTGATTTGCTGATGTGTTAGCTATTTGTAGTGTCATCAAAAAATACATCTTCAACTAAATTTCTGCTTTTCAGTATGGAATCTAGAGTGCTATTATTTTATTAAATTGGATAAAATAGAGGTCCCTCTTTCCTGGTCTAAAGAGGAATCCTTAAGCAAGCATAGCACATGTTAGATAGCATTTTGTTTTGTACTGAATATATTTTCAATCTTCATTCCAGCTGCCTCATTTTGTAATGACAAAAATTCAGGATTTTGCTATCTTGTACATTAAAATATTAAGGCATTCAGTGGATGTGATGAAATAATTGGCAGAGCAGGACTGGCACTCGGTGAGCTAGCTACTTTAAATGTTTCTGAACAACAAGTAACTTGGCAATCTTGCTGTGATGTAAACAGTTTTGAGCAATACTGCCAACAGATACTAAATGTGGCGAGAGCAATTAGAGTTATTAACATGGTATACTGAATATATGGAGCACAAGCAATGTACAAGACATAAGAAATAGGAGCAGGACTAGGCCATTTAGCCTCTGTAGCCTGTTCTGCTTTTCAATATGATCATAGCTGAATTTTCTACCTGCACACCCTCTCCCCATATCATTTTAGTCTCTCGTGACAGGTAGTCAGTCTTTCTCAACCTTAAGAATATTCACTCTTTCATTTTCAGCTTTCTGGTGTATATAGTTCCAAAGATTCGGAGCAGCCTGAATTAAGGAATTTCTCCTCTTTCCGTTATGAAATTATTAGTCCCTTGTCCATATCCTCATGTTCGAAATTGCCCAATCAGGATAAACAATTTGTCAAGCCCCTTCAGAATTTTGCATGTTTCGGGGAGAACATCGAGAATATGGACTCCGTTTACTCTGCTTTCCATAAATGGTTAACTCTGTCATCCCAGGAATTAGTCTAATGAATCTTTGCTGTTCTGCCTGCAAAGACAAGTATTTCTTTCCTTAAATATGGAGGGCTATCAATTGAATACCATAGTGGCTATTCTTTTTGGCTTGCTGAATTCTTTAAGACTGGCATGGTGGCCTTCCTAATCAAAAACTATTGAGTTTCACTTTTCAGAATGAGCTCCATATCAGGTAAACCCACAAGGAATTAGACAGCAGGACCTGGTAACCTGATCTTTCCAGTTCAAACACTGAAATAATTATTTACCAGCTCATCTGCTATAACTTTCTGATCTCTAATCTCTGTTTGTTATTATAAAGAATTTGCTCCACGTTGTACTTCTTTTCTGTCTCAGATTTTATGCATGTCTGTGTTGCACTCTGTGTATCAACTCTTCTGTCCATTGATCTAGGCTGTCCAAAACCACTTTATTTTATTGAAATATGGCAAAAACAGAAATTGCTGGAGAAATACAACTGGTCTGGCAGCATTTGTCAAGAGAAAACATAGTTAATGTTTTGAGTCCAGTGACCCTTTACACTGGGCCTTGCTACCTGGAAGGTTCAACTCTTCAACACTGTTAGGTTTAGAAGCTGCTGTGGTTTGAAATAGTTGTTTCATGGGAGTGATTTTGAAATTGTACCTGTTTAATAAGGACATTCCTTTGTGCTGAAAGAAGTCTGGGAGCCTCCTATGTAAAACACAGGGGTGCATGGGAGATATAAGCTGTAAGAGAGAAGTTGGCTTCTGAACTGCTTCACGGTTGCTGTGATGTAGCCTTTTTATTTGAAAGCACTTGATGGGGAAGCTGTGTTTACACTTTGGCAATGTGTAAAAACTAGAATTCTGTTACAGCAATAATTAAGTGGACAATTAATTAGTGTCTTATGAAACTTCGGTAATTCTGGGAGCCCAAGGCTTATACCCCACTTATTTCAAGAAAAGTGTTTTGTCTCTGAATACCGCTTTGTTCAATTTGATGGCACTATTTTGGAAATGTTATTGTTTAGCAATGCTTCCTTCTTTCATAGCCTTTAATATTTATCCTTTTAAGGTTTTGCAATCCTCACTTAAATTTTGATTGATTTGGATAATACCTTGTGATAATGCGTCCAAGTTTTAATGGTCATCATAAACAGTTGTCCTCATTACCCTTTCTGAAATCCAATTCTGAGTCTTTGCCTCCTTCTAGCTGAGTTGGTAACCATAAGAAACTCTTTCTATTTTTACCCTTAATTTTCTTGATTTTTGAACACTTCTATCCCAGTGTGTAGCTTCCAAAGTCTCATCGCTACTCTTGGCCCTCTTCTTAACTTTCGTTGCGTTTTTTTTCTTGCGAAGAAGGAGCCCAAAGCCTGCAGGTAGGGTCTCGGATCAGTCATTGGCTTCTTGCTCTTTCATTGATTGATTCAATATATAAAACTCAACCCCACTTTCTCTGCTTATTGAATTTTTCCACCTACTTGTTCACCAGTCGCAATTCTTTGCTTTAATCAGACTCTGCAGCTCTGCTGTTGGACTTCATCTCACATTTAGACTTCTTTGAGAATGTTTAAGCCTCTCCTCAAAGTAAGTTACAACCACTGGCGGCTTCAGTTCTTTTTGAGTTACAAATCTTGCAAAAACCAGATGCTTCTTCATGCCCTAAGTCACATGTTCCCATTTTGTCTCCTGCACATCCTCCCTACCTCCTCTCTTCCTTTGTATCCGTGTGCTTCCTTGCGTTCTTCTGCACTCTCACCCTGCTTCCCCTCTTGCTATTTGGCCCCTAATGCCTGTTCAGCAATATCTGTTCAACAATATCACCCCTTCTCAATCCCTATGCTGTTTATTTCACAATCTCTCAATCTGTTTGAGATACACTGTTGAAAGTCTTGTGCGCTTGGATATCAGATGTCTGGTTTCCCCTGTCACACCACTATTGACTTGCCCACTTAGCAGTGTATTTGCAAAATCTACATGTGCAAGGCAGTGTTTAAGTCATACTGTTAGATGATCTTCTGCAGCAACATTTTGCCCAATGTACTTCAGATTGTACTGCTATACTTGCGAGATGGTCAGTAGGCTTTTGAAGTGAGCAGGAATTGGGCTGGAGGAGTCTGGCCTTGGTATTCTGCTCATTGCATTAATGTGTGTTGGAGAAAGAAGCTAGGAAGGCTGGTGTTTGTCCCATACCCTACACAGTCTGAGTCCACTGATTTTCTGCACACATGTTTGTTGCTCCATGCTGCACTCCAGACCAGTGTGAAGCATGAGTTTAATTTGCTGCATCACCAGCCAGCACTGTTCTGCAGGCGAACCCTGAGCTGACGTGTACGTGGCCTCCTGATATGAGAGCCACCTCGGGGTAAAACCTTTGCAAGGCGGTTGATCAGATAAAAAGGAGCAGTGCAAATGTCAAAGGCAAGTTCACAGTGCTTGTGGTTGTCAGCCATTATAACACTAACTTTTTGCTCAGATTGGGTGGAGTGGGTGAGATTTTTTTTTTAAAAAAAAATGCCTTTTGCAGCTCGAATCTCAAGCTGTTCTTTGACAACTTCTAAATTGCCAGCTTTCGACTAGGCGATGGGTTTTTATTTTGTGAACCAATACTCTTAAGTTTCTGATTTGAATCTTTTAGATTTATTTTGATCCTTTTCAGCTGATTTGCTAAGTTGGCAGTGATGTTCGACCATTCTTTCTCCCAAAGAAAATGGGATGGGAGCATTTTGGGGGCTACTTTTGTTTTTAAAGAATGTGGCTACAACATTTAGTTTTATCTTGGAAGATTTTTCTTTTTTTTTTTGATGTTAGCAGTCAAGAAAGTAAATGATCAAGTGGTGTTCATCAAGTCCTGAATTTGGAACCGAGTTTCCAGTTTCAGTGCCATTATTGATAGAAGCTTGGCCAAGTACAAGAGGAAGATATATAGTGGATAAAATCCTCCAGTCGTCCCTGCCAGTGTGGAGTGGACTGGAGTGGATTTGGCAGTCAACTATGGAGGAGACTGAAAATTTCCTGTCACCTGCAATTAGGGTTGGTGCCCATGTGGGACATTTACTTATCATCCCACCCTGCTACAGACCACGGTGCAGCATGTGAGATATTTCTGTTGTGTGTGCTACCGTGCAAAACAAGCTGAGTAAACTGTCAAAATGTTTCCACACTCCTAGGACACTCCAAGTAACCTGAAATCTTGTCATCATGATAACATATTTCTTTAAAGAGTCATCTGTTACTGTTGAAAACCTTGAACAAAGGATGAAAATGCTGCAATTACACAGCAAGTCTGTAGACAGCTGAAACAATTGGTTACATTTTCTATTTTGTGTCCTTTGTGACAAGTGCCAGGCAATGATCATTACCAATGAGAGAGGATCAAGCCACCTTTGCTTGGAGTTCAGTTGCGTTACCATTGCTGAATTTGTCCACAATTCCTGGGGGCTTACCACTGAACAAAAACTTTGCTGTATAAACACTATGGCAACAAGACTTGAGAATTTTAAATGAGTAACTCACCTTCTGATTCTCCAAAGTCTGTGCACAATTTACACTGTCCAAGTCCCTCCTCTGCCCCTCCCTGCTCTCTGTCTGCCCATGCTCCTCTCTGCCTGTTTCCCATCCTCCTCCTGTCCACTTATGCTCTCCCCAGTCTCACCCCCGACCTTCAATCCACCATGCCTTTACACGCTCCTCCCTCCTTCTGCCCTCACCCCACGACAACTTCCTTTTCCACACAACCAGCTCGGTTAGTGGCATAGGCCAAAAAGCCAAGGGCTGGATATCCAAACTGATGCATTAGTGTTGATGAGTGTGGCTGATTTTATATTGGGATGATCCAAGTGTGGAATGTAAGGTGACACATTAACACTGCTGGTTTGGTTTTGACTGTCATGGGCTACATCTGAAATCCACTTCCGTTTTCTTTTACATCCCATAGTGTGATCACCATCACAAAGAGGAGATTGTCATGCAACTGAAGATGGAGCTAGAACAATCTCGATTGAGAGAGGCTGAGACAGTGACAGCACTCAAAGAAATGCAGGATAAGGTTCTGGAAATGGAGAAGGTGAGAACATGATTTTGCTGCTGCTACGGGATTCGGCTCTAGAATCTGCAAACTCTAATCAGCATAGAGTGAAATATGTATTAATGTGTTTTTTCAGTCTTCAATTAGAATGTAAAAGATAATAACACAATGTTTGCATAAGGCAAACATTTGTTACTAATCAGACACCCTAAAGGGATCCACAGTTCCTGCTTAGAAAAAAAAAATTGAAGTGAACAGGCAAGTGAAGACCCTCTGAGAGGCAGTCAACATCATCAAGAGGCACAGATGATGAGGAGACTGAGGCAGGCAATCAGCATCACTGTGAAGTCTGAGTAAGATGAGAACCCTGAAACAGGTTGTCAGCATCATTGAGAGAGTGGATGAGATGAGGATCCTGTGATGAGCAATCCAAGATAGAGTTAGATTTATTGGAGCTTATTTGAGTTTGTATTTCTGTAGTACAGAGAAAGGAACTACTGCTTAGTGAATCTGCAAGGTGACTAGAGACAGGAACTGAATATGCAGTGGTATTCAGTTTTTTAGGAAGGACAGACAAAGAGGAAAAGGAAATGGAGTAGCATTGCTTGTTAGAGACCATTAGTGCAATCATGAAGGATATTAGCTCTAGTGAAATGGGATTTATATGGGTAAAGCTTAGAAACACCAGGGGATCGAAAACAATAGTGGGTTTTTGATATAGACCTTTAAACTGTAGTGGTAACACTGGGGAAGGCATTAAAAAGGAAATTAATGACACAAGCAATAAAGGTACAGCTGTAATTATGGGTAGGCTTAATCTGCACATAGGTGGGGCAAATCACATCACTATCAATGCTGAAGAGGATGTATTCCAGGAGTATGTAAGGGATGGTTTTCTGGATCAATAAGTTGAGGAAACAACTAGGGAACTGACTATCCTAGACTGGTTATTGTATAATCAGAAACAAATAATTGGTAATCTCACTGTGCAAGGCCACCTGAGGAAGAGTGACCATAATATGATAGAATTCTTTGTTAAGGTGGATGGTGATGTCATTGATCTGAGACTAGGTTCCTGAGTCTAAATAAAACAACATACAATGGTATGAAGTGTGAGCTGACTATGATAAATCGGGGAACATTGCTGATAGGAATGCTAGTGGATATGGCAAACATTTAAAGGGTACTACTTTCTAAAGTACTTAAGGAAGTGGCCCAATGCATTGGTGGCCACCTTTCAAGGTTCTAGTTTTTGTTCAATTCTTCCTACAAATTTGGAGGAAGCTAATGTAACCTCACTATTTTAAAAAAAGGAGGTAGAGAGAAAATGGAATTGTAGACCAGTTAGCCTGACAGTGGTAGTAAGTAAAATGCCAAAGTCCATTATAAAAGATTTAATAGCAGAACACTTGGAAAACAGTAACTGAATCAGATTGAGTCAGCTTGGCTTTATGAAAGGGAAATCGTGCTTGACCAATCTACTGGAATTCTTTTGAGTATGTACCTAGCAGAGTTGATCAGGGCAACCCAGTGGATGTGGTTTACTTGTACTTTCAGAAGACTTTCAATAAGGTCCCACATAAGAGATTAACATGTAAAATTAAAGCACATGGGATTAGGGCTAGTGTACTGGGAAAACAAGGAGTAGGAATAAACTTTTCTGAAGAAGGGTCTAGACCCAAAATGTCAGCTTTCCTGCTCCTCTGCTGCTTGGCCTGCTGTGTTCATCCAGCTCTACACCTTGGTATATCAGATTCCCCGGCACCGGCAGTTCCTACTATCTCAGAAGGAATAAACAGGTCTTTTTCTGAATGACAGCAATGATTAGTGGGGTACCACAGGAATCAGTGGTAGAACCCCAGCTATTCACAGTATATATTAATGATTTAGATGAGAGAACGAAGTGCAATATCTCCAAATTTACAGATGACAAAGCTGGGTGGGAGGATGAGCTGTGAGGAGGATAGAGATGCTTCATTGTGATTTGGACAAAAAGTTCAGTGGGTGGGGAAATGATGGCAGATGCTGTATAACATGGATAAATGTGAAGTTATCCACTTTGTAGCAAAAACAGGAAGGCAGATTATTAACTGGCAATAGATTGATTGATCAGGAGGTGTCCTTATACACCAGTCGTTGAAAGAAACCATGCAAGTGCAGCAACTAATGAAGGCAAATGGTATGTTGGCCTTCATAGCAAGAGGATTTGGGTACAGGAGTGGGGACATCTTCCTACAATTGTATAGGCCTTCGTGAGATGACATCTGGAGTACTGCATTCAGTTTTGGTCTTCCTGTTTTGGAAAATGTTGTTAAATTTGAAGGGGTTCAGAACAGATTTACAAAGTTATTGCCAGGAATCCAGATTTGAGCTATAGGAAGAAGCTGAATAGGCTGAGGCTATTTTCCATCGAGTGTCGGAAGCTGAGGGGTGAGCTTATTGAAGTTTATAAAATTGAGGGGCGTGGATAGGGTCAATAGTCAAGGTCTTTTCTGCAGGATAGGGGAGTCCAAAACTAAAGGGCATAGGTATAAGGTAAGATGGGGAAGATTTAAAAAGGGACCTAAAGTGCAACTTTTTCATGCAGAGAGTGGAACATGTATGGGATGAGCTGCCAGAGGAAGTGTTGGAGGCTGATATAATTACAACATTTAAAAGGCATCTGGATAGGTACAGAAATAGGAAGGATTTAGAGGAATATGGACCAAATGCTGGCAAATGGGATAAGATTAATTTAGGATATCTGGTTAGCATGGGCGAGTTGGACCGAAGGGTCTGTTTGCACGCTGTGCATCTCATAAAATCCCTCCAGTGTGGAAGCAGGCCATTTGGCCCATCAGGTCTACACCAACCCTTTGAAAAGTCCCATCCAGATCCACACCCCCATCTCTGTAACCCTGCATTTCCCATGGCTAATCCACCTAACCTACACTTCCCTGGGCACTATGGGCAATTTAGTTTGGCCAAATCCATCTAACTTGCACACCTTTGGACTGGAGGAAATTGGAGCACCCAGAGGAAACCCATGCATTTACGGACAGAAAATGCAGCCTCCACTCATACTGTCGCCCGATGGTGGATTCAAATCCAGGCAATAGTGCTAACCATTGAGCCACCGTGCCGCTCTGTGACTCTGTGCGTTTTGGCCTCCTTACTTAAAATATTTACTTGCCCCAGTGGAAGTGCACTACATGTTTACCAAATTGATTCCTGGGATGGCAGGACTGATGTATGAAGAAAGACTGGATTAATTAGGGTTATATTCACTGGTGTTTAGAAGAATCAGGAGGCATCCCACAGAAACCTAAAACTCTAACGTGACCAGACAGAGGGAATGCCGGAAGGATGTTTCCAATGATCAGCAAATCCAAAACTAGGGGTCACGGCCTAAGGATATGGAGTAGGCTATTTAGGATTGAGATGAGGAGAAACTTCTTTATTCAGAGTGGTGAACCTGTGGAATTTCCTGCCACAGAAGGCAGTTGAGGCCAAAATGTTGAATATTTTCAAGGAGTTGGGTGCAGCTTTTTGGACTGAAGGACTGAAAGGGCAGGGAGAAAGCAGGAACAGAATATTGAGTTAGATGATCAGCCATGTATGGCAGAGCAGGCTCGAAGGGCAGAAAGGCCTACTCCTCCTATTTTCTATGTCTGTGTTTAAGTCTCTTGTAAAGGTGTCATCTATTCTTAAATGTCAACAGGGTATGTAAATTGGTGGTAAAGTTAATTAAAATATATTTTAAAAAAGCATAAATAACTGGATATTATAATAAGAACCAGCACAAGTTCAGGAAGGTTTAAAGTAGTATTACAGCTCAGCCAAAATTTTCAGGTCTGAGAAGCAAACAAAGAAAAATCAGAAACGTGACATCATTAGGAAACAGCATGAAGGTCACCAGAGTTGAAAACCTGCCGAGACAGAGCTTGGAAACAAATCAAATTGCAGGATCTCAAATGTAGTAGTCTCAGAATCACTCAGTGCCATGTGCTTAGGTGATCTGGGATAGATGACTAGACAGTTGGTTCATAGCCTGAGTGATGGTGTAGGCGGAAGGAATTCAGATTATTGAGGGATTTGGACTGATTCTGGGCAAGATGAGAAATGTACTGGCGAAACAGGACCGTATCCCCATCCCCAACAGGACCGTAACCAATATGCTCGTAGGCATTCACCAGTTAGTGAAGAAAGGGTTAAACTAGAGCAGTAGGTGGGTGGGAACCTGAATGGGGAGACAAGTGAGGGAAACAAAGAGGAAAGTAGAAAGCAAAAGTGGGAATGAAGGCTAGCAGTAAATAGGACTGGAGTACAAATGAAATGTGTCAAAATATCAGAGACCAGTCTAAAAGCACTTTGATAAAACCAAGAACTGCAGAAGCTGAAAAGTTGAAACACAAACCAAGTGCTGGAGAAACTGAACAAGTCTCGCAACATCTGTAAACAGAGAAAAACAGTTAAAATTTTAAGTCCATTCTGACAAAGGGTCACTGGACTCAATGTTAACTCTGTTTTTCTTTCTCCTCATGCTGCCGGACCTGTTGAGTTTCTCCAGCACTTTGGCTTTGTTTCTAAAGATCAATTTTGTTTCTAAAGAACGCATAGAGCATCCACAGTAAGGTGGACGAATGAACGGTACAATTGTTGTAAATGAGTATAATATGATGGTGATTATCGAGTCTTGGTTGCAAGGTGACCAAGGCTGGGAACTGTACATCCAAGACTATTCAGTCTTCAAAAAGGACAGACAAAATGGGAAAGGAGCTGGGATGAAATTGACAATGAAAGATGAATTTCATACAAAAGTCAGAAAGAATATTGCTGCAGGAAATCTATATATAGAATCAGTTGGGTGGAGTTGTGCAAGAGGGGTGGAAAACATTAGTGGGAGTCATCTATAGGCCTCCACACTGTAATGGTGCAGAAAGGATGGCAATAAACAGGAAATTAGAGGGTACAACAAGGGTACTACAATAATCATGGGTGATTTCAATCTACGCACTGGGCAAACAACGTCAGCAATAACACTGTGGTGTATGAATTCC